TCTATGCGTGTATTTGTTTGTTTGTTGCTATGTATAACCGTGTTGCACTTGACAAAGTTTTTCTGATTCTGATAATAATTATATAATAATTATTACTGAATATACACACATATACACTCACCGGCCACTTCATTAAGTACACCTATTCAACTGCTCATTAAAGCAAATAGCTAATCAGCCAATCATGTGGCAGCAGCTCAATGTATTTAGGAATGTAGACATGGTCAAGATGACCTGGTTAAGTTCAAACCGAGCATCAGAATGGGGAAGAAAGAGAATTTAAGTGACTTTGAGCAGGGCATGGTTGTTGGTCTGAGTATTTCAGAAACTGCCGATCTACTGGGATCTTCATGCACAACCATCTCTAGGGTTTACAGAGGATGGGCCGAGAAAGAGAAACTATCCAGTGAGCAGCAGTTCTCTGGGTGAAAATGCCAGAGGTCAGAGGAGAATGGCCAGACTGGTTCAAGATGATAGAAAGGCAACAGTAACTCAAATAACCACTGGTTACAACCAAGGTCTGCAGAAGACCATCTCTGAACCAACAACACATCCAACCTTGAAGCAGATGGGCTACAGCAGCAGAAGACCACACCAGGTGCCACTCCTGTCAGCTAACAACAGGAAACTGAGGCTACGGTTCACACAGATTCACCACTCACCACTCACCACTCACCACATCACTGGACAACAGAAGATTGGAAAAATGTTGCCTGGTCTGATGAGTCTCAGATCTGAGGAGTCTTGATGCTCTCTGCAACTGGCCAAAATGTCGGCTAACAATGTTGGATACTGGCAAAATCTTCTATCATGCAGCCCTATTCTTGAATTCAGTCTGATCTCATTGATGAAAACAGGGTGGACAAAACATTAAAAGAAACAACTCTCTGGGTAACACACAGCAGTTTAACAGCGCCACAATCTACACAAGCAACACCTCTCTAAAACAGTTTCCACAAGAACTGAACATTATAATCTTCACAAAGGCAGAATTTACTGCAGGACTGTTGTATTAGACTGCATTAGCTTTGGCTCAGTGTACATGATAAAGTGGAGACTGTGTGTGTGTGTGTGTGTGTGTGTGTGTGTGTGTGTGTGTGTGTGTATCTCACAGTTGGTTCATCACAAACTGGATCCAACATGTGTGCGCGAGTAAAATCTTTGTAAATACATGCATGGAATTACTAATCTTTGCCTCATTTCAGAGATTATAAGAACTAATTACTGTTCTCTCTTCACAATTTTAAACAGGATTAAAATGGATTACTTGAAACCATGAAAACAGATTATTATAAATGTGTATATGCAGTGATTCATATTGTCATTAGTTAAAATAACCCCATTAAATCATTAGATCTCATGTTTACTGCAGAGTTTAAAAGCCTTTTCCCTGCCCAACACTCCCCCTGTTGGCAAGTTCATGAATCACGTCCTAAACTATGTCTTCTTTTCTTTAGAGACAGTATTACCATCTACCATTAACAGCAGCCTGGGGAACAAGGCAGGGCAGATTTTATCTATATCAGTTCAGTTACAGATGGGTGCGTTATATTTCCCTTATCTTTCACAGCCACCTTTACAAGATTGTGTCCAGTGATGCAAGATTCAGCCCAGATGAGCTCTGAGTCTACAGTGACACTTTCTCTCCGCATGAGGAGAAGAAGAGAGGCCGCCTCATGTGCAACTGGAACCACAGGACAAGTACAATTCAACAGTGTGTTCGTCACTCATCTGTATTCCCTTCTAATCTTTAATTCCCCCATCTATCACTCATCGCTGCTTGACATTCACAGAGGCTCCTGGATTTCATATCACAGGGTGTCAGACAAAAGAAATTGGAAAGCAGGATGCATGAAGTCACAGTCCTCTTAACGACGAGAGGAAGCTGTGCACAAGCTGCTCGACATGGGGGATTTACCTCTTAGATGCGATATCTGAAAATGGTACGTGGTCTCATGTGTCAGTGTACCTCTGCTGAAGAAGGGATGTGATTTCAAGGTTCAATAAAAAAATGTGCTGTCTTGGCCGCCTTCACAAATACAGCACAAGTCTAGTCATATCTCGTAAACAGTAAACAAGATTAGCTGTAAGTAAGCACCTTGCTCGCCACACTTTAAGTTAGAGGAAATAGAAAGCTCACCGCTTAATCACTTTGGGTTATGTCACATGGAAATTTACCCAGAAATCTTCCAGTGACCCAAACTCATTTAGAGCTGAAGTTACACAGTGGAGGACAGTAAAGATACTGTACTTCAGTATTTGTACTTTACTCCACTACATTTAAAAAGTACAAGTTGTATTTTTAATTCCACTATTTTATTTGACAGGTGCTGTTCAAGATTTCACATTTAAAAAAACATAGGATGAGCTTGTAACATACAACACACTACAAAAGGTGTACTGTGCAAGATTGTTAGTTACCGTCTGTAAATATACTCACCATTGAACGTGAAAAGTAATGTATAAACCCCCATTTAAGAAGGCAACACGGCTACACTAGTCTGTGGCGGAGGTTTCTGTCAAGTGCTGTAAAGTTTAGTTAATTCAAAACACACCCAAAATTCTTAGAAAATTCTTACAATTGAGACATTTTCTTAGAATTTCCCCTTAATGTTAAGACTAGGTCCTCGTGAAGATAAAAGTTATTCACGGAGCATCTTTGACCTTAAAAGAGCTCCTAAGGTGAAAAACCATTGGGAGCAGGGAGGAGGACTTTTAAGAGGCTTAAGAGTTAATTTAGCAGAGGAGAAAATGGCGGAAACTCAAAGAGGTCGGAGAAATATTCTCCAAACACTGGATGACAGTGAGTAGATGAAATGCAACAGATGAGATTGTGCAGGGATAATATGCGTTATTGATCTCATTAGGGATACACACACATTTCCCACCTAATGCTAACGCTTAGCTAACACCAGAAACAACATGATCACAACACTAAGATATCTGGAAACTGGAAAAATGCAACAGTGCAGCAGTGATGCCTTGTGTCTAATTAAGTCCCAGTGTCCTCAAACAAGACAATAATAAAGTGCCAATGTCTTAAAAGGAGATGATAATAAAGTCCTAATGTCTTCAAATGAGTACCTCCAAATGAACAGTGTCTTTGCTTGTTAGTGTTGCTAAAATTGGTCAAATTTGTTGCCATATCAAACTACAAACATTATTAATCATAAATAAACAAGTTTCAACCATAAAATGTGATCAGGTTTTGGACCTTGTCCACTTTTGTGTCAGGACCAGCTGCAGACTTACTTGGCAGAGATGGCTGCCATCTTGTTTTTACATGTGCTCTTACTACCACTAGATGGCACAACAAAGTGTCCACGAAAGAGGACAACTAAGTTAAGCAGAAAGAAATATAAGGTCATGTAAACCAAAAATGTGATGTCCTCATATGAGGGCACAGGGTCTCAGGAAGATATTTGCGTTTTTCTGTACTGTGTCTCTTGGATGCCTGCTGCGTTCAGTCTGGCACCTGGTTGCAACCTTTTATAAAGCCCAGACCTCACCTAAATGCTATGGGCGTATGCTCCCATAAACACCCCAAACACAGGTGATGACTGGGAGGGATTACTTCTTACTTACTTGTATGAGACTGTACATTTTTTTTTAGGAAAATCCTGCATACAAATCTTCAAGATTAAACCAGTGGTTCTTGAAGTTTTGTGCTGTGGCCTTTAACAAAAAAAGCAGGTTCTGGTTATGGCCTCTGAGGCTGTTACTGCGAAGCCACTTCAACTTACCCAGGATATCTTTTCGTTATCTGGCTTGACTAACCCTAAGATTGGCCGTCTGGATAACTGGTACTCCAAAATTAACTGGTTCTTCGTTGGCAAAGGATAAACGCGTGTCATTGAGATCAGGCCAAAAGTTTTCAGTAACTGAACCAAAATCATAACAGAGGTAAATATTTGTGGACCAAGGAGGGAAAATGTATCCAAAATCTTTCTTGTGACCTTTCAGATGCACCACTGGACAAACCTACCCAACGGTAATTTGTTAACTTGTGTTTGTTTACTACCTTGCAGTCTTCTTCTGTCCTGCTTTTGTTGGCATATTACCATATTTACTGACTCTTTGCTGCCACCCATGGGTCAGTGGAGTCACATGAGACCACTGGCAGGGCTGTGTACCACATAACCCACGTGGGCGTGCACCTGCTGAGCAAAACAAGGACCAACTCATAGGAAAACAGCCTCATAGCACTAGAGGCCCACAGCTCCACAGAATACCGTTAAAATACGACTGATATTATTTTATCACAGAGTTCATCAGTATTATTGAGAGCATTTGTCATGACAACAAATGCCACCTAATAAGAACTTGCACTCTAAGGACAGATAGGGAAACATTAAGCATTCCTCTGTTGGAAATCTTAAGGAAATTACAGCCATTAAGTTTATCTAGTAGGTGTGGTCCAATTTGTTATCTTGTGATTGGCTTCCCTGATCATTGAGAGCCTTTTTGGTTGAGCTGTGCAGTGGAATAATGTTGTGGGAGGGAATGAAGCACAAGGAGCAAGGAAAAGAGTCACAAGCAAATGACATAAGCATGTTATTCTTAACCTCTGACAAAGAGACAAATCATTTCCCACTATTATGTACCTCTCTGTGTCTCAGGCTCAGCTCAAAGCCACCCAATTAGCATATTATTTTGTCTTTGTGATCACGCACATTGTTTTTGAACTCTGAAGGCTGGATAGGAGTTATGAGGAAACTAGTCTGAGTGCAACAGGAAAGGGAGGTCACTTCCTGTCCAGTGTCGAGAAGCAGGATGGGGAACACCCACAGACGTCTAAAATGCCTCGAATGCACACTGAGCCCCACACACTGTTAATGTTTACTTCTTGGGCAATGTATTATATCATACAACTTTCAATATTTGACTCATTTATCTCGCTTTTGTACTTTTAATAAGGTAAACGTTTGAATGCAGGGCTTTGATTTGTACCAGAGTATTTCCAGGCTGCGGTGTTGCTACCTGACCAGGTCAGAACTAACCTGAGGCGCTCCTCCTCCTTCTTGCGTAGCCTCATGTCCCTCTGCACCACCTGCAGCACATGCTCCGCCTCGTTGTCCGTCAGCCCCGACAGATCTAACTTCCTGCCCATCTCTGACACACCTGTGGCTGTCACTCAACCCCTCGGACCAATCAGTCAGCTCCTTATTAACATCTGAAGAAGAAATATATACATTAAGTTAAAAAAAACCCCAATCAAAACATAAAATTACTATGATAAATCATTTCAGCCAGTGTGATGAAAAAACATCCTGTAAGTAATTATTGTGAGAAATGTTCTCAAAATATTGACTTAATATCTCAAATAAATATGTGAAATGATACAGACTCTTCTTTTTGAGATATTGAGTCATTATTTTGATATACTCTTTATTTTGAGAGTTTCTTATTATTTTGAGAAAAAGTTTCATATTATTTTAATAAAGTAGACCTTATTTTGAGATACTTAGCCCTTATTTTGAAAAACTTTCACATTATTTAAGTAGGTTTTGCATTATTTGAGAAAGTTTTCACATAATTTTTAGACCCTAACTCATTACTTTGAGGTACTAAGTCATTATTTTGTGAAAGTTTTTCGTTATTTTGAGAAATTTTCTCATTATTATGAGACACTAAGTCATTATTTTGTGAAAGCTTCACATTATTTTAATAAAGTTTCTCATTATGTTGAGATACTAAGTCATTATTTTGAGAAATTCTCATTATTATGATATACTATGCCATTATTTTGCCAAAGTTTCACATTATTTTAATAAAGTTTGACCTTATTTTGAGATACTTAGCCCTTATTTTGAGAAACTTTCAAATTATTTAAGTAAGTTTTGCATTATTTGAGAAAGTTTTCACATTATTTTGTGACAGTAATTCATTATTTTGAGGTATTAAGTCATTATTCTGATAAAGTTTCACATTATTTCGATAAAGTTTCACATTATCATAACTTACTACAGGATCTTTTTTTTCCCATAACACTGGCAGAAATGGGCTTCCATAAATTAAAGCACAATAATCTATCAGTACCATAGAGGTGTTATTAGCATATACATGACGTATGTTATCCAATCAGTTATTGGCTTCATAACAAAATGTGACTTGACCTGTTGCCAGCTGTGGATGTTACTGATTGTCAGTAATGTGTTGGTTTCTAGTTTCTCCCCCTGTTTACTGTTCTCTCCAGAATGTTTCATGACGGATACATTTGGTGACATTAACCTGCGTACCCGTGCATGATTTTGTACTGATTGCTGTTTTTATTATCTGTATTGACTATTACTGACTGTTGTCTGTAAGCAAAGTTGGCCGTCTGGAACAATAAAGATTTACTCTAACTAATAGCATTTATGACTGTATACCCTCTGTAGCCAGTTTATTAGGTACACCGAACCAAAACTAATGCAGTCTGATACAACAGTCCTGCAACAAATCATGAATAAATAAATAAATACAAACAATAAGTGTTTGCATTACACAGAGAGGTGTTTCTGCTTCTCAGCTGTTTCTCACATCACTTTTAACTGTATTATTTGCATTTAACCTTGCAGTTCCACATATGTACCCTGCTGGTTGACATATAGAGAACAGCACTGTGTCCATAAGCAACTTAAACTCATTTTGATGTCCTACAAGCCACTTACACAAGTAAATCTGGGGTTTTAACACCAAGCAGGATTTGGGTTTTCTGCATTAGCATTCCTGAGGAGGAAATCTCTCTCTGTCAGACATAAAGTTGAGGCCAACTTTTTTCTCTATGATTGAAGCCAACATGACAGCAGATCAGGGTGTCAGCAGTGGATCCCTGTGAATGTGGAGCTCAGCTGAGGAGTAGAGCTGTTTAATAGTTCAAGCAATACTGTTTACTTTTTGCACTTTTTAAGGCATTAGATCTTGTGAACTATGATGTTAAACAAATATCAAAGTATCCATACTGAAGTAAATACCAAAATTAAAGGCGACTTTCCTCATGAGTTATCACCCACTCAATATATAAGACAACATTTTAGTGATATTAATGATTTTTGAGCAGGCTGCTTACAAGTGTAAATATCATTTTTTAAAAGAGCTTTTGCACATTTTTTAGCCTACATCTTGCTTTAAAAGAGTCACACAACTTTAATAAAAACTCACCTATCTCCCAGTGTGTTGTCCTCTCTGTTGAATCTGACTGGTGCACCCTTACAGGCAACACAAAGGGAAAACACACCTTCTCAGCCCGTTGACTCCTCGCGTGTTTTATATGAGATGTCGCCGAAAAACTATAAAAATGACAAAGTCGCAAGTCTTTTTAAAACCCCCTCTCTATCAGTATAAAAGATTGAAGAGAAGTTTCACCGCTGTGGATGTGAGCAGTGCAGCCTGTCCCGGTTTCTGAGAGAAAATCAGGATAAAGCCTGATCCGGATGGGGGGGTCTACTTCCAGTGTTTCCCTGCTGGAGCAAAGAATTAGGCGACATGGAAGTGATGATAGAGTGTGTAAACAAGTGAGAGAAAAAAGGATTATAGCTTTCAGAGAGATTTCTGAGGGTAAACATACCTTGAATTTCGTGGGGACGTTTGTTAAAGCTACGGAATAATTACACATCTCCATTTCCAGCCGTCACTGTATCACAATAACTTCTATAAACAACTGCTCACACTCCAAGTAGACTTATTAAAGATACTATTATACCTGCTGTATGAAACAGGACAAATGCTGCATTGGTAGCGGTGTGTGCAGGAAGCTGGAGTCTGATTGGATAATGAGGAGCAGGTGTGCAGGTGAAGACAGCAGGTAACTTACAGAGGCGGAAAACTCGCTGAGGGCAACTAGTGGACAGGTGGAGAATTACAGCCTGAATTACAGCCTGGCATTCCAAGAGGGATGTCAGTAATAGAAATACAGTGGTGGACAGTGTTTGGTTCGTTACTCTAAAAATTAAATATACTAGTCCATAACCATTGGTAGCTTTGTCACCTTCTACCTATGCCAATCCTCAGTGCCTATGTGCAGTTTCACTTAGACTGACCACCTCAGTGAGAAGAAAAACGTGGGACAGACAGAATGACTGACTTACAGAATGACACACTGACAGTTTCCGTGATTATGTACAGCATACCATACCATGACTTAGTCATACCAAAAATTAGAAAGAAAAAACAACATTTGGCCACAGGGGGAGCCACAGCGATCGGTCGCATTTTAGCCATTTTTAAGCGTTTTTCTGTTGTTATAGCGCCACCCAGTTGCCAATTAGAGTTAAATCTCTCCAGTCACCTTGAGGCGTCCTGTTCTACATATCTACCAAGTTTAGTAAAAATCGATATGGCAGTTAGGCCTAGATAAGAAATTAGCAACTCCATTTTGTTTGATTGGGTCAATAATGGAGGGCTCCCCTCAGATTATGTGTGGTCATATGCCTACAAAGTTGCGTGGTGATCGCTGAAACCCTTGAGGTATTATACACTTTTATGTGATGAGCCACGCCCTCCGCAATATTCATTGCCTTATAGAAGCTCAGTTTTAGTAAGTTTTCCAATTTTTGCCAAGAGGGAACTTTAGATATTGGTCCCTAGATTATGTTCACCAAATTTCATGCAGATCGGTCAAACTTCCTAGGAAGAGATCGATTTTAAGTGTTTTTCAAAAAAAAAAAATGGAAGTTATTGGTTCTTGAGGCAAATTTGTTCTTCATGAGGAGAGGCATCTCTGTGCAAAGTTTCATGTCTCTACAACATACGGGGCATGAGATATGTCCATTCAAAGTTTGCAATTTCAGTCTGTTGCTATAGCGCCCCCCTTTGGCCAATTGATGTAATATTGCTTCATTCACATCCTCCCATGACCCTCTACCACTGTGCCAAATTTCACATGGCTTGACCAAGTCAGTGAGGAGAAAAATGTGGAACAGACACACAGACAGAGTTTTCATCATTATATAGTAAGATTACTCATTACACATTACTTTACTTATTACTCTCCACCAACAGTAATTTGTTACACTACTCGTTATATTACTTTTCCGTTACACCCCATATAACTGCTGATTGCGTATCGTCCCAAAATTCAAACGTATACCTCTGTGTGAATGGCAGGGTAATCAACAGAATGTGTAGCTAATGCTAGATAGTTTCTATTTACCTGGGGGCTTTCTGTTGCCTGTGACAGTCACTCATGGAGCAACATTTCATCCACCACATATCCAAGATCAAGATTTGGTTGTTTAGCCAGTGCAGGGCTGCAGCCGACTCACCTTTGGTGGGATGTATTTCCTGGAGTTTCAAGTTGTTGTGCTATCGGTTGTAGTAGGTGTTTCAGACTGAAGGTTGTGGGATGTGTTTTCCACAGTGGAAAGAGTTTTAGTCCGTCTACTTGCAGCAACAGTGTTCTTGTCATCTTTCTTACTGACATAATCACAGTAATGGGAATATTTCCAGCCGCTAAGGTAATCATTTCCATCTAGCTTGCTGCTTTGTGGCGTGCCTGTGCAGCACGATTATAAAAATGTGTCAGCTGATGTGACTGTCGAATTTCAAGTCAGTAGTGATGTGATAACAAAAGTAATGTTGTAACGAGTTGTTTGGTTTTGGAGTAACTGTGATATTAATACTGAAATTTATTCAGCAATTAGTTATACTACTTGTTATTGTAGTGTTGGGTAGTACTAATGTGTTACTAGTAACACACTACCCAACTGGTGGTGGAATATAACTAGATCCATTTACTTTCTGAGATACCTTTATCTTAGGGTGCTTTCAGACCTAGAGTTGTCTTGCTTTGGTCTGAATCAGGGACTAATTTTGTGACAAAGTTGTATAATTGCCTAGAGTTGGTTCGTGTTTTCACGGCAGCATTTACAAGTGGACCAGATCAAATGCTGTGCGTGAAAGCTGCTCTTGATTGGTCAGAATTTCCATGCAGTAAAAAAAATCCAGGAAGTAAACAAAATGTTGAAGAAGAGTACACTTGCAAGATAAATGTGACACTGTCTAATGTCACAATGGAGGGACAACTACGCAGGTTGATTTTAGCGCTGCTCATCGTGGACTATATTGCTTGTTGATATTGTTCATTTTAGTCAAACCATACAGTTTGAAAACGAGGCGCAGCTTCATAAAATGCCGCTTACACATTGATGTATCAGTATCAACAATCTAATAATGTCATGTCCACTGCAAAATGTTCCCACTTTTTTCAAGAATGTACTGACAATGTTTTTAACTGAGAGTGAGTCAAGTTCCTGGTATTTTAGTTTTGGTAAAGAAGCTTGTTATTTTGTCTTTACACAGACTGCAGTGTAGCAGGAAGTGTTTTTCTGTCTCCACTTCTTTTTGACGACAGAGTTCGTATTCTCCAGATTGACATGTTTGTCTGAGCTGACAAGTCTAGACAGTGAGAGTCACTCTATGAGTAATATCTTTCTCAGTAACTAACCTTCTGGCCAGGAAGACAGGCAGAGGCCGCAGGACTTGTTCTCTGCTCTAGAGAGCAGGCCATCTAACCATCCTCTCTATGGGCCCCCCACCCCACTGGCCCCAGTGCAACCGCGCTGCCTGCACTGTCTATATTTACGCCCTTGCTTACAGTCAAAAGAACTGTACATTTAAAGCAGTAAACTTCTCAGGAAATTTAAAAAAAATGTTGAAGCAGTAAAAGATGGTTTCCCATGCAAATATTATTCTGTGACAAAGAGGTAAACCAGCAGGATGTCTTGATGTGTTTGGTGTGTGTTTTCTTTCAGTTGTCTTGTCAGTGTGTGTGATGCTTCTCCCCCATTGCCTTTCTATGAACTGCTTTGTTATTGAACATGAGGTCAAATCACTACCAATGTGCAGACCAATCATATAATGATCTCCATCAGACCACACACTCCGTTCACTGCTTTGTTACAACATCTATTATTTGTCTATTATTGGCCAACAACACAAACAAATCACCTTCAAGTACAAGTGGAAGCCGCCAAGTGTAACACTGAGTATTTATGATTTAATTTGTATGTTTAAACATTCACATTGAACCTGAATAAAAATGATTTAATATTTGTATTTTTGATTCAATTTTAAATTGATGCAGGGTGTTGCATGTCATCAGTTTTCTGCTCAAAACTAAATTATATTTCTGCACTGTACCAACTGTCAGCAGCTCCATCCTCCAGAGTTAACGTAATTACGGAAATTTATTGTTTCCTCTTCTATAAAACACCACAAACACGTAATGTCTTGCTGTGAACATTTGACTCATTGTTGTTACTTCCTCTTTGTCCACATGCAAGTGATTGGTCAGCTGTAGGTATATTAATACCTTCATGTTTCGAACTCTTCAGTTCATCAGCCATGGACAAAAGTGTGCTGCTGGTCCTGTTGTGTCTGCAGGTTTTCCTGCTCATCACAGCCTTCACCTCCACTGATGCAGCCATTGTGGAGAGGGATGATCCTCAACAGCTGCCTGTTAAACGGGTAAAGTCTGCTGACTGCAAGACGCTTTTCTTTGTTGAAAAACTGTTGTAAGGAGGTCCTTATTAATTCACATGATGTTTTGTTATTGGACTCTTAAGGTTTAAATTTCAAACATATTGTTGAGAGAAAAAAAGAGATGCAAAACAAAGGTTTTTGATTCTGTTTAAATTTGCAGTAATGTTATTATTAATTAGGCGATTACAAATTCAACAAGAATAATATGATAATTATGATAATCTCTATTAATAAAGCCTGTTTTCAAAACAGAGTGACAAAGTGCTTTACATGTCAATAATTAAAACAGACGAGACATGAAAACAACTTTTAAAAGAACTGATAAAAACACTTCAGTATATAAAAACAGAGGAAATAAAGGACAGTCTAAATGAACTTAAAACTCAAGTAAAAACAGGAAAGACTCTGATAAAAGCATGTTTTAAGAAGGGATTTAAAAGACATCACCGACCATGAAGAGCCTTAAAAGTAATCAGTAAAATCTTTAAATATATTCTAAAACATACTGGGAGCCAGTGTAAAGAGGATTAAACTGGAGTCATGTGATCATGTCTTTTGGTTCTGGTTAAAATTGGATTTTTGATTCAGGCAAGAAAAGAGGCTGTTGCAGTAATCCAGGTGTGAGGAGATAAATGTGTGTAAAATCGTCTCTGTGACTTTAAAAGTTAAAATGGATCGTGTTTTTGAAATATTTCTGAGATGATTGATTGAAGACATGATTGCACAGGCTTTGTGACATGCTGCTCAAAACTGAAATTACTGTCAGACGAGACTCCAAGATTTCTCGCAACAGTTTTGATATTATCCAATAGGGGTTCATCCAAAGGCAAAATCTGTCGAGTAATATGCTGGGGCCCTATGACACCATCTCTGTTTTGCCTGAGTTCAGCTGAAGAAAATGTTTTGACATCCAGCTTTTAACATCAGTGAGTGAACGCATCATTTCAGGGTCTGTGGCTCTAACGGGCAGGTACATCTGTGTATCATCAGCATAAAAATGAAAAGAGTAAAGACAGAGTAAATGAAAGAACTGAAACAAGTATGCTTAAAGAGTGGACAAAGGTGGTTTGCTGTGTATAATAATGATTTGTTTATTCTCATATTCTCAAAGTTGAGACCTCGGACCCATGGAAGTGGCTGTCCCAAAAGACCGGGAGCATGTAGCCCTGTAGGAAACGTAAGCTTGCTTTAACCATGCATTTATTTTCTTCTCTCTGTCTGTCTTACAATATGGTAGGAACGATACATTTTTCAAAAAAAATGCAGAAAA